GGGAGTGCCTGTTGTTGCGGTATATGCTCAGCTCGCTTCGCTCGCTCTGCAACTAGTGTTTTCATATCACTAGGGTGAGACTCCAATATAAATGAATTGTATTATAATAAATGTGTACATTATTACATTCATCTGTTATTCAGGTTTCAAGTAGTACATGAGTCGGGAAACCTAGGATGGGCATCTTAGTACTTCAGTTGTGCACCGCGAGCGCTAATCATAAGCCTCATGACGGGAGTACTGACATTATTGCCCCGGTAACACGAAATTGAAGTTCCGCACAACGAAGTCGATTTTCCTAAAGGGACGAAGTTGAAGGTCTGAGGGTGTACTTGACGGAATTGGAACTTCTATGACGAACTCGAAGGTTCGAAAGGCAAAATTAAAAGTTCTATTAACACGAACTTGGACTTCCTATCGACTTCGGACGAACTTGAATGTTCTATGACGAAGTTGAAAGTTCTAATTATGAATATGATCTTCCCGTTTCGGATTCGTACCTTCAACTTCGCGCGTCCCGACGAAATTGATGGTTCCAAAGACGAACTAGATGTTTAAAATGTGTAGAGGAAAGTGAATTGAGGTTTCCGCTTCGTCGGCTTATATAGATGATGTTGTATGCAGCAGTAGATTGTTGTTGTTGTGATCCATGTATACACAATAGGACAATCGAGACGATCTATTCGTGGCATTACTCCCAGATGTTGATCGATTTCGACTGTGGAGGAATGATGATAGTTCTAACTCTGGTTTGTTGTAAGTAACGAAGTTTGTCAGAGCACACACGAAATACGGTACGTACTCTCGTCTCGGAGGTCGAGGGACCGTGCAGCTTTGGGAGATAACGCCCCTCCCTAGGGTTTGATAAAAATGAGGAAAATGTTCCTAATGTGATGATGACATTTACATGGGAAACTGATTGAAGAATGTCTTCCATACGTGGAAAATTCAAAACGAGCTTCCCCCCTTGGGAACATTATAGGTTCGTGGATGATTCTTGATCTCTAACAAGCTGACGATCAGCTCGTTTTCCCTGAAAAAATCGTATGTCTGATCTCACTAGTTGACAATGTGAGAAAATATGCACATGGTCAACTACATATGTTAGTGAAAATTTTGGGAAATTCTTATTGATTTCAAGAATTTTCCTATCCGAATTCATGTTAGGCAGTGAGAAAACTGAGGAGACGGACATTAATTTCAACACTGCTACTTTAATTTTCAATTTGTTTTTACTCATTAAAGAATTGTCAAGAATACGGAGTTAGAGTTTGCAATGGAAATTCGCTCGACATGTGCAAGAAATTGTTCTGAGTTTTTTCATTTTCATTCTTCAATCGATTAACCACATATGAGTTCAAATGCGATGCGCCAAAGTAAATACCTCTTGGGAGAAGCGATGAAACTGTCTGCTCAAAAAACAACGACGGTGACAGCGGCTAATGCCAGTGGGAAGAAATTCGGTATGATCGAGGGAATCCGATTTTAAAAATCGGAAAAGTTGTGGGGAAAAAACCTGAATATATGTATTTTTCGGGTGACATGGCACATATTCTCTCGATTAGGAGAAAACTCGAATTTTCTTTCGCGAAAAATATTCGGTGAATTTCAAAATTTTCAAAATTTCAAAACTTCCAACAATTTTTTTAATTGTTATGAGTAGATTTTATGAAAACTAAAAATTTATAATAAAAGTGACAATTATTTTTATTCCATATTTTTTTTAATTAATTACCGACGAACGTTTATATTTTATCGGGAGGAGGTATAGCCGGAAGCGCCTGCGGATAGTTTCTCATTGGTCGTCTACGTCGACTGAATAAGCGAGTGCTGCCCCCTTCTCACAGACTCCTTTTATTGGTTTTGAAAATTTCGTGAATCACTTTGATAGCTACTATAAAATTCACGCATACTAATTCAATAAAGTTGGACCCGTGATATGAAAAACACCAAAACGCCATGAATAACGCGTAAAACACATATTGCGTTTCACGTGATCAGCTGTGACTTGTCCGGTGAGCTTCGCGGAGTGTTTTCGGGAAGAGCGCGCTTTTCGCATGGAGTATGACGCTACTTCCCCCGTAAGACGGGTAAAACTCCAATATATATCCATCTCCTATTCGAGTATAACAAATATCAAAATTCGCCAAATTTCAACTATGATAACGTAAGTCCTCGTCATACCTTGAATGATCTCAGGTCAGGGAAAGCGTTTCGCAGCACTTGTCGGAGCTGCTGGTGTAGGAGCCGGTTTCTACGTAAATACTCATTTGGATGATTTCCCGGGAGTGAAAAAGTTAGTCGGAAAGTAGCAAGGGAGTGAGCTGGATGTCGCAGTGTGGCAATGCTGATAGGACTCCTATCCGAAATTTCCCTAACTCAACTTGACATCATTCGAGTTTCACGGGCCGTGGTATGTAATAGTGAAAAACATATTCCACGACTACTGCGTATCGCGAATATCGCATTTTTCAGAGAGTATTATATCGCTTCACGTAAAACGGGTGAAACTCCATTGAATGAAATCGTAGTCGCTCGCTGGCTTCGGGGATTTATTTCCTCATTGATGCTCCTCAGGATGGACGAAACGCAGTTGTCATCAGCAAGTAGTGCGAAGACCTTAGTGAAATCAGTACATGTTCCCGAGGCGGGGAATCCCCCTGTTGTTGTGGAGAAACCAATTCTCGGTCGGCTTGCTGAAAGCGGAGATGAGGTTATTAAGGAACCCGCGGTTGTGCATAAGGAAGTTGCGGAGGAGGGGGCTGAGCAGCAAACAGATCTGCCAACTGCAGTGGACAGCTCTTCGAATGAGCCTCTGGAGAGCAACGATGGTTTTACGCATGGACAGATGAATATTTTGGCTAAAGACGATGAAGTGACGATTGAGCAAAATGAAGTCTCTGGTGAAGAGGAAAGTCTGCCAGCAGTCAAGGGCTCGGGAGAAGAAGACACGCAGGTGAGAGAATAGTCGTTGTAACATCACCGAATTGAGATGAAATGCAATTTAGGGATATGCATACTAGTCTTGTTTCGCGTTTCCTCCATCTTACGTAGTAGCTGTTGTGAGGGGACCGATGTTTTCTCACTCACATTTCGCGGTATTACTATCTTATATCACTTCCATTCAAAGGGTGAGTTTACTTAGTCGTTGAGACTTGTTGGACAAGTCTTGTTCCTATCAAAATTCCTCTTCGGAATTCAGTTATATAATATAGAAATCAAAGTTCGACTAGTTGAAGCAGTGGGGAAGCGACGAAAGCAAACGAGCTCCGTGCACTGAGGGGTGTGAGCGCCCAAAGAGACGAAGCCCTGCGGAAGCTTCCCTCAGTCACCGAGGGAATCTATCGCCGTTTAAGACGTTATTACACTGTATATCAATTTCGTCTTCAAATTGTGACTTGGTGCTTACGCGTGTATCATAAATATGCTATAATTCTCTGTGAGTAGAGTGTACTCTATATGCTGAGTATAATATCACTACTTTAGTGTATTTGCGATCCTCAACGACTATCGTAGCCTCTTCGAATTTGGTGACTTCACTTCCAGCAGTGTCACAGGACGTGGCCGCTTATGTGACGTCTACTGGCTGAGTTGACCCTTGTGTAGAAATGGAGTATATTGGATTTTCACCCTAGTGATATGAAAAACATTAGTGAAAAATATATTTCACGACTGCTGCATATGGGGGAGATCGCGTTTTCCATAGAGTATTACGCCACTTCACGAAAAACGGGTGAAACTCCCTCGTAAGTATCTTCAAGTGATGTTGAAATTTTGTCCATCACATTATTCGTGTAAATAGTTTTCTGTATTATTCGCTTACTATCAGGTGGCGCAGAATGGAAATGATCGAGTATCAGTTGAGGAGAGGGAAATCATCCCGGCTGTCATCACGCTGGAGGGAGGGCCGCCCGAGAAGGAGGAAGAGGAGGAGGAGGAGGAGCCTGTGGATCTTGATACCCGAGAAGGAGTTATGGAATTACAGCGACGTCAATGTCGCGGTGAGGGCTCGCGTAGATCTTCCGATGGATTGATTCGTAGTCGTTCAGGTCTCTCAGCAGAGGAGTTGATAAAGAAAATTGTAGACTTGACTGGTAGGAGATTCGATGAGGCGGCGCAGGTGGCGAAAGAGATAGAAGGAGTAGAAGCTGAAGCGGAGGAGAAGGCTAGAGCTCATTATGAGGAGGAGGTAGGTACATGCATTGGTGAATGATGTGGGTGAATGTCTATGCAGTTGAATATTGTCACTGATCAAATGGCGGATATGAAGTTGGACTACTTGGAGAGGATAGACTCTATTATGGCTGATCATGCGGTGAGATTTGGGCAAGGTGTGGTATGGCGAGTCCGCGTTGCACTATAGGGCGATATTGCTAGTATTAAGGGAGAAGTTGCAGCGTTGGAAGTTGCCCTTGACTCTATCAACGAAGATAAGGAAGCCGCTATGCATGGTGGGCCTCCATCGTGGCTCGTCAGGATGGGTACTCTTCTGAATCAGTTGCTTTCGATAGTCAAACGGCTCTGTCCTTGTCGATGGATCTAATGCATGATGAGGGCGATGTTCGCGGCGTCATCGAAGAACTTACCAAGGTGAGTTGCGCATGTTGTGTAACGAGATCGGGTATCGCGGGGGGGAACAAGTGCCGTGGAATACAAGCATGGTCAACAAGTACATATATTGATGACGATATGAAAATGTTGAGAAAACTATGGGAAAATCTTATCTGTACACTTCTATCGAAATTTGCGTGTGAACTTGTACAAATATTGAGGAAACTCCTGAGCTCAGCGATTCAGGAAAGCGAACATATATCTCTCCAGCACTGTCATAGATGGATGCACGGGCGGGAGAAGATGTGTTGGTCGTTGATTGGGTGCTTTATAGTTGCCTTCTATTCGTCCCGAGACCCACAAGGCTGTTCTGGGCACACTTCCTTCGCCGTTGCCTCCTGTTTATAGCGCTGGGGTGCTCAAGGTGAGGTTGCTGTTGTTCATAAGTGAGGCACTCAAGCAGCTTATTGTTATTCGGAAATTCCGAATCGGAATTACTGTGTGCCTAAGAACTCCTTACTCGATGAAGAGATGACGTAGAAATCTCAGGTCCGCTTCGAGCGACAGCTTCCTCGTATGGTGACCTCGGCGTTCATGCCAGAGAAGAGCAGTATGATGGGAACTGTCATGGCTCGTATTTTCGCCTCCCTCTACCGGTTGGATCGGAACGATGCTGATGAGTTGAGGGCAGAGGGAGCGCAAGATGCTCCCGAGGAGTGTAAGAATGAATGTCGCTAGAGCCAATTGTGCAAAGTCTCATTGTATACAAAGGAATGCCTTATGGAAAGGGTGGGATCAATTCTATCTTCTTCAGTTTATCGCTCGTCTCTCTTGCCTTTCACAGACCCTACATCAAAGAACCTCAATAGCATAACACGGGCGGCTCGATGCATGGATAGAGGCGAGTACGTTACTGAGCATAAGTCGTCGTTCATCGGACTTGCTTTTTAGCCTGGTCGGTGCCGTTCGTCATTTGAGAGCTACGAGCGGGAAAGCTCGAGAAACAATTGATGAATGGCTGAGCGAGGCGGGTAAGCTCCCGTGGGTTTGTCGTGCTTCCAAATTGACCATGTGTTTCCGCAGTTACCACGTTGGAAGTCTGGCAAGCCGTGGATGTCATCCGAGGCGATTTCGATTCAGTAATTGCGAGTCATCTGTGACTCACTTATATTCGTGTTATGAGAATCAACACCGCAACTTATTATCGTGTTCTTACAGTAGGATATCATCTTGTAGAGTCACCCTGCCATACAAGGAGCCGCAAGCAATATTCGACGAAAATAGGGGAACTGATAAATTCATAGTCTTCATATTAAACCGCTCGATAGATTGCTACGGCATCAGAGCTTCTCAACTCAGAGACTTTATCAATATGACAAAGCTCAAAAGTGCTACAACTCATGGAATGTTATATCGCCCTTGTCTCTTAGTTGCAAGCGTCTAAGGCACATAGTGTAGTCTCGCGCCCGATAACCTTTCAACATGCTCACACGGTTAGCCTGTCACTCCAACCCCAGTGCATCATCACGACATCACAGCATGTTCACTTTGGAGCTCATCGGTGGAGTTTAGCGGCCAAGCTTAGTTCCTTGTTCGGCAATATGAAGCACTCATGATGAACTCAAGAAGCTCCAATGTTTAAACACGGGTAAGTTGAGTCCTAATCTGCTGACATAGCGGGCTCATTAGCCGAAAATAATCTCTCAATGAAAAGGATGATTCGCCGAATAGCATTGCTCTAAATATGAGATTTAGAGCCACGCTACCCGAATGGCTTATCCAGCCAAAGGTCTTCCCACGGAGTGGTCATGAAATGGCCAACGACAATTGAGGGTATTCCACTGTGAGCCGCAGATTCAGAAGAAGACCTCAAAAGAAAAGAATGGTTTACGGAGATCACGATTTCAACTTCCCGATCCCGACTCGTTTGGAAGTAGGGTCGAACTCAAAATAATTACCGATAAGCATACGATCGCCGAAAAGCCAATAATCCCCTTCGTCCTCCGAGATCAGGAGTGCACAAACATTACTTATATTCCTGGCATAGTTCATGTATGTCATCGTAAATGGAGTTACGCCATTAGGGCCCAAGCCAAACCTCAACCGTGGCAACTTTCTAATGTGTTCGCAGGGGAATTGCCACATCTCATCCTCTGTATGGAACGTGAAGTCGACATGCGTACCCGCAGCCTTGTCAGTTTGAGCTTTGATCTCCTCAATGAGACCGTTATAGTATAATTTTGGGACGTATAGATTATTGGAGCCGGTGTCGAGGTATAACTCCATATTGATGCCAGGAGTTATATGTCCATCACCGACTTGTAGCTTGTCAAGATTTACCATGTAATGTTTGTCCGAAGTGAAGTCGACGTACTTCAGTCCACCTTCATATAATGCAGGATCGCCTCCACCCAGGAGTAGGCCTCCATCAGCGTAATTATGTGAGGGATCAGCGGGAGGAGACAAGTAGAGAGCAAAGGTGCCCGTCGTTACAGTTTTCGATGCTAGCAACTGCGTCATCAGAGACGGGAAGTTCACATCGCCTTTATCATAGCCGAGACCCATCGAGTTAGACGGAGCAACTTCACTGATGGAAGGCTTCTGGCCGAATATCAGTCCGAAAGTGAGGATCGGTGACACCTGACCCAGCGTCAATTTCGCTTTATGTTCAACGATGTGCACCATGTAGTCGTCTTCGAAACTAATAACTTTCGTCACTTTACCCTTCAAGCAAGACTTCGAACATTTGTAACACCCCATGAGCCAAGCACTGCAGGGAAGTCCACTAGCTTGCTCTAACCATCTCTTCCAGATGAGAATGAAGGAGTCCGACGCAGTGTCAACGAGAGTATGTAGGCGCTTGCCATCCGCGACGACCAAAGTAAACAATCCAAAGCCATAGTCACGCATATATCCGTAATTGAGCTCGAGCTTGAGAGTTTCTCCCCGGGAGACCTCCAACACGTGAAATACATAAACCAAGGCGAGTAGTCGAATGAGCATAGGAGTGTTGTGCAACTCGACACTTGTAGCCGATGTGACGTGAAAGAAAAAATACTTTTCCGGGCGGTTGGCCTGGTTTTAGCTACGGGAAAATCGATCAATTCACGTTTGTAGGCCAACTTGCACACAACCTTGTGCGTCACCTTCACGCACAAACCACAGCAACCTGACGAAGTGGTCATCTTTCCCAGATGACTCAGCGAGAGGAAATTGATTTGAGACAGAAATAGTGGAAAAGCATGGGAAACATGCTTAAGAGTTCAAGTGACGAGCGACTCATCCGGAATCGAATTGTGTCAAGACTACAAGAAAATGAAGGGATGACTAGGCGACTGCGACGAGATGGTCTGATATTCTCTCTGTCAGTCGTTAGCGTTGCTACGCTTCTTTATTTTTTTAAACCCACCCGCTGCCGCCCGTAGGCAAGTATCATTGAACTACTCGGTCAGATCTCTCTTACTTCCATATCTCTTTCGTTGCTATTCTTGAGATCTATAGGTTACACATCGTAGCTCAATAATTCGGTTTTGCAGCCAAGGGTGGGTGAGTCGAGTTCTCGACTCAAGGGCGAGAAGTCTAAGTGGTGGATCGGAGAGTCGCAACCAACTTGAACTGATGATAATATCAGATAACCATGCCATCTATGGATGTAAAAAGCATACATAGAGAACATGAGGAGACATTGTCTCCGAGACAATGATGTACACGATACTCGTGACACGATTCGTGACACGAGAAATTCTTCGGAGACCCGCCCGGCCGGGGGTCACAGGGAGTCCCGGCGTCCCGCTAGGATGTTTAAAACGTACATGCGCTTTTCTTGTATCGTGTTTTTGTTTACATTATTCATAGAATAAATACGTCGGCTCATCGATGACAGCTATTGATAGCTGCGATAGCTGGCGCACGTGCAGTGGGCGTGCGCGTACAGCTAACGTTCGTGCATTGTGTGCTGCAACTGTGACGGCACGTTATGGTGACGTGACGTGACGCGGCGAGGGGAGCGGGGGCGGGGGCGTCTCCCCGGTTGTGGGTTCCAGTCTCTCGTCTTCTCTCGAGACTAGTTCATAAGCCTTACCATGTTTGAGTTCGATACGTCAATCAGGGATAGCACGATAGAGGAGGATCATCCTCCGAGGATGCCTTTAACAGTGATACACAGTGTCTAATGACCGCGGATACTTGAGTGGAGCTCAGATCGTGAACTTGAGAGAAGAGGAGACTAGGAGGCAATGTATAGCTGATGCAGACTGCAGCCTGCAGTAAGCTTTCTGAGTCGAAGACTTCGACTGAGATGGTATCTCAGGTGGCTAATAGTTTTGACTACAACGACCTGATCAAGAATTTTTCTGAACGAAAAGGACGGAGGATACCAGTGGTCGTTCCACTAACAGATCATGCCTAAGACGCTGGATGTCTTCCAGCTAGTGCGATGTATTCTACCTTCGACTGTCGCGAATGTCCTCAGTGATATGCATGTATGCATGCTCATAAATATGCGGTTGACGTAACTCCGAGCGGCTCCCAGTTACGTCAATGCCCATAGACCTTGACTCTACAGCATTTCCAGGTCAATTTAATATCTTACCCGAATTTTTAATAATTTAACCACTTCTTTTGAAAAATACCCTTTTTTTAATCTTTTACCGACTGATTTTAACTCATTAACCAAGATTTTAATATAATAGCTAGTCTTTTTAAAACAAGTATGTTTTTTATGGGGATGGTGGGGTAGGTTAAACATCCCCACTTCAATTAACGACGTTAGTTTTGGCTGCACGGGCGATCACAACGTAGTTACACGTCGCCTATTCGGTGCAAAATACCACGCGTAGGACGTGGGTATGCACATTTGCAACTCGCAAATTGCGATTCATACTGTACCTAGATGAAACTGGTGGGAATCTGTATCCGTGTATGAATCCGTGTCCAAGTGCACCAAGAAGAGGCGTGACGCCTCAGGCGTCAGAGGCTAACGAATTCTCACAAGGCAGGGTAGGCGAGGTTCTATGAAGAAGGAAGACTCCGGTGACTGACTCGTGCGAGTTGTAATACACATCTGTGATGAGAGGCAGATCAACCCATAGAAGCTCACATTGGCAGAGGATAATGCTCCCTCACACAACAGAATCGAAGCCAAGCTGCAACATTATATAGCAACACACCACTCCTACCAAACTCCGAAGCTCATACCTACTCGTACTCCCGAGTGAGCAGTAGATTACTACTCACTCGGTACTGCCTCTGTGAGGAAGATTCGCTGTACGGCCAAGTATCCTTCAGAGAATGTGTACCTCAGGAAATGACCTCACGATTGTGGGGCATCCTCGACTCTGCGAGTTTCTCGCGGATTACGGCTAGCGCTGAAATTCATAGGTCAGTTACGGGTCCGTCTGGTGTAGCCAAAGCTAACGTCATTATTTGAAGTGGGTATGTTTTTAAGAAGACAAGCTACTATATTAAAATTTTGGGTAATAAGTTAAAATCGGTCGGTAAAAGATAAAAAAAAGGGTATTTTTTCAAAAGAAGTGGTTAAATTACTAAAAATTGTGTAAAATGTTAAATTGACTTGGAAATACTGTAGAGGCGGTAGCGAAGGTGAAGAGCTGAGTAATCACGATGAGCAGTCCCTAGGTCATGAAGCGTCTGTTCCTGAGACTACTCAGGTGAGCATTGCAGTCGTATACCATATCTTCATCTGTAAATCATCAGGACGATCATATAATGATCGTATATAATCATTACGATTATATATCATATAATCGTCAGTATACCTCTTCTCGTTTGCATCTACGCTAACTCCATTTCCCTGCCACTTTCCTAGTTCCGTCAGTTTCTTCATCTTCCAACTCGGCGTTGGACTCACTACCTAGTCCTTTTAAGAGCACGTCCGACTCTCCTCGATACGATAATCCCGCTCAGCTGGCGTCACAAGGCCTTCACTCTCCCACTATCCATCGCTGCAGCTACTGGCCTCCTATTGGTGCTCCGGTAT